ATCCGCAAAGTCATGCAAATCATATTTTATATTTATTTCTGCTTGTTATCTATACATTATCTATAGAGAAACATAAACAGTTTACCAATTTACATATTAACTAGATAATTAACTCATTGGAATATTGGTGCAACAAATATTATGAATTTGTAAACTTGCGTTGAAAACGTAAAGTGATTAATAATATTTATATATAATCATTCTCGAAATGTTACATAATACCACTTCATAATATTAAAAATAAATCAGTAAAATATATATTTTATACATTATTTCAATTTCGTGACATAAAAAGTGCTTATTATTCCGCGAGACATGGAAAAAAAGTCGCGAAAATGAGAACTTTTCTTACACCGAAACAAATGCAGCTGCATGTTTCCGTGATTGTGCGCAACGCGCGGTTTTTCACATTTTTCTTTTTGTTTGAAGGGGAGGCTGTGTAAATTATGCATCCTCTATACCGTCCTCGATTCCGTCACTTTGGGAAGAATCCCTCCGTCTCAACGATTCACGATCGATATTTTCTTACGAGGCAGGTTTTACGATGCACATGGAATTGTCGCGCCACGTGCAACGGAACACTCTGCGCGCCGATATTGTCAGAATATAACAGGAGTCCCCCCACGGCGCGCATTATATTACAGCATAATATTATCGCTGTAACGCGCTCGTGACGGCCGTTAAGGTCTGGCAAGATCGCCTGGTGGCGTCGGGGTCTGCTTGCGGCTCGCGGGTGGGCAGGGTGCATGCGAGGAGCTAAACAACGGTCTGATTATTAACGAAGTTCTCCTAAGTTTTCTCGTTTACGCTCGTGTGGCCTCTTCGCATTGCGCCCCTTGCACGTTGGAGCGTGCAAGCCGCTGCGTATACATCGTTGCCGAATGCTCCCGGTTCTTTCGTGAATGTCGCACTATTTCCAAGAGACGCGGAGAAAACGCGCGAACCTCCCTGAATTTGTAATGCAGAATGTTTTATGATACAGGGATAGCAAGCGTAAAAATATCGGGGACTGGTACGTATCATTTTTCAAGATATACGCGAGAGCGAATCTGAGCGTATATAAAAGAAGTTCAATCTATAAAACGAAATGAGAGCTAGACATTATACGAATATTATATTTATTTATCCACTGTGATAATTGGTTGCCAGTCATACGATTCGGATGAGTAAATTGAATTGATTCCGTTGATTTGACAGCTTGACGTTTAACGATTAAATACCGCAAAATGATTGATTGAGAGCAAGTAAAAAATAATGCATAAAACGAAAGGTGTAACCGGAGAGTCATAAATAGCACGTAAAGTAATTTGAAGCGTCTAGAATAATAAAAGGATCGATCGTGGCTGTAAAGCTACATGAAAATATGCACGGTTTATAGCTAACACCCGATATTCATGATATTGACAAGAAGACGATAGAAAGTTCCGGCGCATATTTGCGTACGCGAGATTAAACAACGAGTTGGCTGCTAAGAGAGTTCTCGAGTTCTCTCCCGTTTGCTCTCATGTGCTTCTTCGCGTTGTATTCGCATGCTCGCATTAGAGCGCATAAAAGCCCAGTACTTAGAACGAAGCGTATACAGCGGCATGCGGTTCTTTTTTCGACTCGGCAAACCGTGCCAGCGTAAGCGCGATGAGAGCGCGCAACCGAAGCTTTTGGACGCCTCTTAGCGCTTTCGCAGAAAATCGAATTACTCGTTTCGCGTTTGCGGCCCCGCCGACGGCAGGAAATGAGCATCCAGTCCTTCACTGGGAATGGGCATTTTCCGGAGCCGCTTCGACGTCTTAGAAGTCCTCCGCGACGTCCTCTCTCGCCCGATCTCCGTGCAATTTGATTTTATCGCGGAAGCGGATCTAAAAACAAACGATCGTAGCGTTTTTCTTTTCCGTCGGACAGCCCGCAGGCCAGAAGTTATATGCGATAGATAGTGCCTTCACGGTATTAAAACCGAGCGCTGTTCTACAAACATCATTAACAAACGTTTAAAAACGATTTGCGAATTTTTATTGCGAACAACTTGAATATGTTCCTATATCTCGTCGATATTGATAATGTATTAGAGATTCAATAGAAAGTATATTACTATCTCTGAGATTATTACATTCACATTCCTTTAGACATGGTACATTTGTTTTCACATAATTTTTTTCGATTATTATACTTTTAAATGGCCGGAAAAGTTTGCAAATATTTTATTTACAAAATTATTATTAAAAACGTTAGAACAGATGGCCTTCTTTGATGAGATAATAAGCAATAATTGAACTATTAAAATATATTAATCATTAATTTATATAAATATTGCTATATGTTTTACATGTGTTATCTCTAATCGAATAACTTTATCAATAATCCTACAAACAATAATCCAAAGGATCAATAAATAACAATTTAGGATACCTACATTAAAATGTCATTAATCGTATATACTTGACAATATTTTAAATGATTTCTTCTGCAACTGCATTTATTACTATAAAATTACTATTTGAATTGTTACATTAATATTATTATATATTAATAATATAATAATTTCCTTCTAATGACAAAATGTCCCTAAATCAACAAAATTAGATCGTAATCACTCGCATTGTTCTTTTACTCATGTGTTTATCTATTTGAATAAATAACTAAACATATATATATATCCTGTTTATATCAGTTTGAATTAAATATCATCGATTCATTAATATGATCCACATTGCTATATTAATAATGGATATAATAAAAGAATGACAACAAATATAAATATTTTTGATTAGCAAAAAATGGTGCGTAGAATATGCAAATGTTTGAATTAAGGTGTTCTGCCGCTTTCTTCAACAACAATTACTCAACAATTTATTGAAATAACAGAATAACTTTTTTACCGGCATTATAGCGTACCTTTAATTAGAACGTATAATTTGAACAATACCTACAGTTTTCCTCTTGGCGACTCACGCCTCCATTGTGAAACTTGGCTTGAAAGACCTACAGAAGCACCTACAATGATGCCGGAATATGTGCGACGAGGCAAGTGGAAATGTTGTCGGCTTTACCTTACCCAACGGGTGAAAGGAAGAGAATGTTGTAGAAAAGAAGAGAGGGAGAAAGAGCCAAACGGAAAGGGAAGCGCGGAAAAGAGAAAGACAGAGGAGACGGTGAAAGAGAGAAGGACAGGAGTTAGAAACACGTTTCGCTTCCTGCCGTCACCTTGAAGCCATCTCTTACCGGTTTACGAGGGCACCCACGAAAGTTTCGGTACACTTGCACTTAGAGTCATCCTTCGAAATACATAGCACGATGTAAGTACTGTAATGCCTGCTACGAGTACTGGCCTGAGCTGTAGATTGGGTTTATGACTTGCACTACTCGTTTGCATGCCACCGAAAGACATGAAACGCTTAAACTCCTCTTGCAAGCTTTTCGATGGTGACTTCCATCCGCGCCAGTGTACGGCGCTTTGGCTAACGATTTGCCTGCTCGTGACTTGAAGCTAATTCCAGCATTGTGCATACCGTTGTTTCGTAATTTTTGATTTGACAGATCTCGTGACGCCGACCGCGGCGTTGAAAGACGTGAACCGCGTACTGCATTCGGAGAAAGAGCTTGCACAACGATTCATCTGACCTCGTTAAGCTCGAAACAGAATGTGCAATCGAAGAAGGAGCTTTACGACGGAGAGCATCCGACCTCGTTAGGATCTAGCCTTCGTCTAAAGGAGTTGATAAACGAGGATATCTACTGATTGATCGACAGTCTGTTAAAGTAGTCCCCGCACGTGTAGGCTGCCTCGATGCGGTGAATCACAGGTCACGAAATCTTATCATCTGACATGGAAAAGTGGATAATCTTTTTCACCGTCGGACCGACGATCGATTTCAACCTATTTTCACTCGCCACAGATTGAAAAGTAACGTTTCGATTGAGCACGTGATTTCACTCTGTACAAGTGCAGTGGAAAAAGGCTTGGCTTTTTAATAGCGAGAAAGTCACGTCTGACCACACAATAGATTTTACTACTTGTAACTCATCAAATATATTTAATAATATTTTTATGTATGTGCTTAATATTTCTATAATTTTTAAGAATTATTTCTTTAAATAATTAAATAAAATGACTATTCATATATTACCTCAAAATTAAATTATATTCATGTATCATTAAACACAAATGTAAATTCTGAAATAATTCAACATGTTATTTCACTCTGTGCAAATATAATAAAGATATGTGATAAATTTGACTGTTTAGTACTGACTTTTTATGCAACGAGAAACTTATGTCTGATCATATGACAGGTTTTACTACTTGCAATTTATTAGATATTTATTATATATATTTCAAATTTTTTATTATCGTATTGTAAATTTTTAATGCACGTTTAATACTTTTATATTTGGATTGTTTTTTTTTAAATAATTGAACTAAATGATTCAATCATCAATAAATTAAACTAAATTTGATTATTATATCACTCTTAAAATAGACACAAATTTTAGCTCTTAAAATAAAATTATTTTCAGAATATTTAACTTGGAATATAGCTGAAGTACATTATGATGTTTGAATAAAACATGCCTTAGGTCGTCTTACGTTTAATATAATATACTCAGTATCTTGCACGTAATAATTAACAGTACATCGGATCGATGTAGCAATCTCTTCATACATTTTACAGTGAATTCTAGCACTTGCAAAGAGCAGAATATATCGTGTAAATAAAAACATAAATCAACTTGGCCACTTGATACAGAGAGCGTTCGATTATCTATCTATCCTAAAAGAATTCTGGTGATCGAATCCCATGGAATTGTCGTTGGTGCCTATGTGTGTTTCTCGCTATCCTAAAAACGTGTCTCTTGTACGAGGAAGGCGGGTCTTACGGTTTGTGATGGCGGAGGGCACGTGAGATTCAACGGGCGCATGCGAACCAACCCTAAAGCTCACGACAGACCAGAAAGGATCACGCTCTCTCCGTTTCTCCCTCTCTCCCTACCTAACCCTCTTTCTTACCCTCTCTTTTACTCCAGCCGCCGCCGAGCCGGGTAAACCCCTCGTGTGCCAGTCCGCACCGAGATTCCGGCGCGAACCGTCCTTTCTCGTCGTGGCGTCACGCCAAGTTCTAGATGGATGTCGCTGATCCGCATTATTGTGTCAGCGATTTACGTCGTCGCGCAGGTGTTCCTCGCTCGTCCATCCTTTGTGGAAGGTCAGTGATTGAGAAGTTCGTCGCACACGCTGCATTGAAAATATAATCGCTGTTCGTTTACGTTTGAATGCGGCCGTGTTTCGTGCGTGAGTAGGGTTGTATGTGATTTGTTCGGACACGCCGCTGTGAACCAACAGCACAAAGTTCGTTTCAGCCACCGCGTGAAATTTATGTTAGTTACCACGTAAAATTGCCACGTGATTACGATATGGCGACGTAGTCTGCCGTACGTCTTTTCGTACATGTAACTCGTAGTGCTCTATTTCTTTCTACACGCATGGCTTAAATTTATATTAAATTTATTTATATTAATTTATATTAAAATTACAAACACCAAAACTTTATTCACGTTATAAATGAACACGCTCTACTTTTATAAAGCTGCATATCTGTTTTATCTTCGGGAATATAGTCTCTGTGTGTTCGTTATCAAAGTGATCTACATTTTAGTCTAATAAAAAATTATATGATTGTTAATGGTTCAATGTTATGCGGCTATTTTGAATATAGATTATATCTTTGAGCAAAATTAGCAAAATCTTATTTTATACGAAGGGAAAAGAATGCATCCGCTTTTATTAAGCACGTACGTCAATATTGTGGCTTATTTCTTTTGTTTATACGAGATAAGCAATTTTTTAGAGAATTATACGCAACAAATATTATATTAGAATTAATTATAAGATCGGGGCTAACGTTTGTAGTTTCTTCTTAAACGCGACCAAAATACTAGAAAAGTTGGATTGGCACGTCGTTCTGTGGTACGCCGAGATCGTATGATTTCGAGGTTTGAGTTGGTCTGCAACTTTCGGCAGTTTGCGTGCTACAGGATTTCAGCATTAATTTAATGACACGCTATAACACGCTGTGACGCGAGCGAAGTAACGACACGTCATGCGCGATAAACCGTACATGATAGGTACATGACACTTTCATTTTATTTACACAACCTGCTTCTGCCAAGAAGAGGCGACTTAACACCGCGTGTGCGTGTGATAAGTTTTACGATTTTCAGAAAGTGAAGATATGCATTTTATTGTTAAATTTATTAATGCAAAATTGGTGTTAAATAACATTTTTTTTATTCGATAAAAATTAGTGTCGTTGTTGATTTGATTTTTTTTTTTTGTTAATTATTACAATGACTAAAATAGTGAAATTATTTTATGTTATCATTTTAGTACGATTTTGTATTAAATAGTTGCAAATAATATTAGATACTACAAGAATTGATTGACAGCGTTTTACGGAGATATTCAGTTTTATGTGAAATTTTGAAAGTGATTAATAATCTTTTTATTTAATAAATTAATTTGCGTTACCTACTATCTCTTTTTATAGTGATGGTGTGCATGTGAATCTCTATAAACTAAAATTAACTCAACGTAAGTTTCTTCATTATCAAGCAGCACATCAGTTTCGTACAAGCGGAAACGTGCGAAGTATCGCATACATCTATGATAACGTTATCGCAGAGAAATTTAATTTACGCTTACCAGTATACTTTCATTTCGGCATTGTAGAATCAAGATAAAATTCCCGAGATAAGGTCAGTTTAGCAGAAAAACGCACAAAAACTCGGACATTTCGTTCGTTTTATCTACCATCGCGTTTTCAACGAAACTCGAGATTATGGTCGATGTATACATCGGGGTGTGGTGGATAGCTAACCCTCGATTGGCCCGAGCCCTCAATTCTTCTTGCCGGCGCGATTATCCCCCAATATCCTGATACATTATTTATCCCTATCTATAAAACCTCGGAGTTTTCATGAAGGCGAGAGAGAAACCTTCCTACCGGAGAACTTTTTTCCGCGTCCAATCCCTGGCACGATCCTTACCCGCCGACAATAACGAACGAACGAGGCGACGAGTGCGAGTGAAGCTTTTCTACTTTCCTCAACGTCCTTTTTCTCTTCGCTCGTTCGCTCCCTTTTCTCGGCGAACTTGTTCCACCGGGCGGAAGCCTTGCCGCATTGACTGCCAAAAAAGCCTTGGCAACGGCGTGGCACTCATTTAATTTAAGGATAACAAAGCGCTATCCGAGACAAATCCTCGGATTAGTTTTATGGTATTCCTATTTACACTTTATAGTGAAAGAATTACATTGTGTGTTTTATTTTTTTCTTTATTTATTTTTGTTGCGGCGTGACGTTTTTGCGCATTGTTATAATATTGGCTGAATAAATAAAATGTTTCTCTCTACAGAATTATCGGGCGATGATTAAAATAATTTTTTTAAACTTTAAAATAATTTGTTCACTGATAAATAATTATATTTAGGTGAATAGCGATGAATTCTTAATTCACTATAAAAATTAACATTCACTCGCACGTTGCTAAAATTACCTTGAATTTAATATTCTCTAAAATTGTCCTTACATAGCATAGCATAGTATAGATCGTGAGTCATGACCTATATGCTTCGGTCTTACGTATACCTAAATTAGACTGGCCGTGATTGACTCATTCGAATCGATGTACGCCATTGTTTGCTGCATGGCATTGTATGCATGCTGTATAGTGCGGTCATTAATATACAACGCTACAAGACGACGATATTCAACAATGAAAATCAGATCCAGTGAGATATCGATTCCAAGCATTGCTCTTGTCTCTTATGATCATTGCCCATTGTGACGAAACGCAAAATGCGTAAAAACAGAATAATAAATTGTCCGATATAATAAATAATTAATATGCTATATATAGAATTATATAGTTATATATAGAATATATAGTTAATATATAGAAACAGTATATGGAAACAACATCCATTTTACTAATACAAATATAAAAAATTATAAACAGCTATAAATATTATTTAATAAATATTATACAGCTATAAATATTATAAACAGCTATAAATATTATACTATATATATTATAAATATTATAACACTTAGAACATTTTTGCAAATAAAATTTATTATTAAAAAAAAGTATTGAATGTACTTATATAAATTAAAAAATAATTCTTAATCATTTAAAGCTATGTACTGTACATTCTAATAAATTTTTAGACAATCAAATATGTTGCAATAAACAAACAGTATGAAACAATGTCTATTAATAACAGTTTATAATTTCAAATCCAGTTTAATTAGAAATTTAGCAAATATTAGAATTTCTCAGCGATGCGCTGTATACTTATTGTTTATGTAACATATTGATCATTCACTCAAAATGTTTAAGGAAAAAATTCGACATCCGATTATGTGCACAAAATATCAGTATGAAGTAAACGAGCAACTAGTTGCGTTCTAGTTTATAGAACGAACGGCACATAACGAGAGAACATACGGATCGGTGTAAATATTTGTCACTATTTTGTTCATTAGGGAGGTAGAGATATCGATGCCTTAAGTAGTCAAGTCAGACGTATGGCCCGGCTTTTTTAACCGTGAGATAAGAGCAGTGCTCCGAGGTGCATCGAGGGAACAATTTCCCCGTCGTCTCGCGCGCGCTCATGATTTCACGAGGTCCTCTTTATTTCGGGTATACCGTGGACAAATGCGACTAACGTATCGAACTTCCGTCTGGGCTAATTTACGGCGTTGGGATTAGGGGAGTAAAATAGAGAGGGAGAGGCCGGAAAATGGCAATTCTGCAGTGCGGGTAACTATCCCCTTTCGCCCGCTCCCCTTCCCCGCTCTCACTCTCTTTCTCGACCTAGCTCGCCGAATGGGTTCAAACGCTTAAGAGGCGAACGTCTCTCCATGGCCATGATAAAATATCACTGCCTAAGAGAAAGAAACGGTCACCCTCCTCTCCGGGGGTTGACAAAAACAGGGGTAATAAAACTCGGAGAACGTCCCCGTGTACCTCCGTACCGAAGTGGGAGGATACGTTCGGACGATTACCTTTCCGGTTACGTACCCATACGTGCGCGCCCGAACCTCTTTGGACTACCGTTTCTCTAAACGAGATAAAAGAACACTAGGAAGCAATATATATTTGTGCATTAAGCACCGTGCACAGGGCAAATGCTCGAGGGGAATGTTGCATCGGTGTGCGATACCAATGCCGGCTCTCAACAAGCATGAAGAGCACTTGGACGTACGTGATAAAATGCATGTTTTCAATATGCTTCTAACAACGCAGTTCTGAGGATTACGTAGGTCCTTATTCTCATTAAAATTGGCACTCTAATTAAAATTGACATTGCAATTAAAGTTGAAATTCTAATTAAAATAGATAAGTTAGAAAGAACATAACTTTCACTTTGTATCATGTCGTTAAATTTATAAAGTTTGTATAATTTTGTTGAAGGTTTACAATCTATATTTTTACCACCATTACTACACGCCACGTTTACTAATTGGACGTTGGATAAAGCATCATTTATCAGAAATTACCTTTACTTTATGCGCGGAGAAACAGAAGAGTTAAGCTGAATCATGCTCAATTAATCATGCTTATTTGGAGTAATGTAGGTCAGCGCGCCTTTCGAGCGCAGCGTATGTAATCATCCCATTTTCATAAATAAAACATCATTCAATTAATAATAGTATAGCGTGTGTATATCAGCATTACATTTCGCGCTTTTATTCTTATTATTCGCTTTCTAATTTCCGAGAGTAGAGAAATTTTGTGTTTTTATTGTGCCGTGTTGTTTGCAAAAAAGTAGATATATTGTGTGTTTTTCAACAAAAATCATGTCCCATAATTAAAAAGAAAATTAATAAGATTATTTGTAATAATTTTTGAGAATTTATTCATTACATTATATATATTCCGTCAAAATTATATTCTATCGCGAATACATCTCTTTGTTATGCACGCTCATTGCTCCGCTGGACAGGTCGTTAACTGAACGTACTGCGCGTAGAAACCGCTACTTGACAATCGATTAAAGCGCTAGCTAAGACGGCGGCGAAGATGACGGTGACTCAAGGAAACGACTTTACAAGCACACTCGACGATAATTGGGGATTGGTTCGCGAAGTCGGCTTAGGGGTTGGCTCGTTTGATGTGGTACCCTTTGCTACCAATGTATCT